TCCAGCATATCGTCGACACTTGGAATGGGAAAACGATCCTTCACGGTAGCTGCATTGAGAGCGCGATAGTCCGTGCAGAACTGCCACGTGTCATCCTTCTTCTTCGCGAGCAGCACCAGTGACGAGAACGGGCTCGTGCTATGCTGGATGAGTCCAGACTCGAGCATCTCGCCCACCAGCTGCTCGATCTCTGTCTTCTGAAAGTGCGCGTATCTATAGGGATGCACGTGCACTGCTCGACCCTCTTCGACCAGAGGTATGCGGTGGTCGAACTCCCAGTGCGGCGGCAATCCCTTGGGCTCGTCGAGGACTTGGTCGAACTTCTCGAGCAAGTCACGCACCTCGTGCTGCCTCTCCTCGACCGCCTCGTCGAACTCCTCGCCCGTCTGCTCGACCACGACAGCGTACAACTGCCTGCCACCTCGCCACACCTTCTCGATGCTTTTTAGCCATCCTCCTTGGTTGCCCCTTCACTAGCCTTTAAAGTAATGAGCTGATCATCGGCCTCGAACTTCATCCCACCCTTCCGGTAATTAGTCGTCACATCTCCTAGTCCCTCGAGCCACTGCACCCCAAGCACCACATCCTGCCCCACTAAAGGTAAGGCAAACAAATCTGCCTTCACCGTCACTTTTTGAAACTTAATCGGAACGCCCCGGTACATCTTCGAGCACCGCAAGCGCTCGCCATTCGCCGCCCTGAACTCAAACGGCTCAATCGTGGTCATGGGCAACTTGAGTTTGTGCGAGAGAGTTGCATTAATGAAATTGTGCGACGACCCATTGTCCACGAGTACTGTAACTCGCCGATCCTTCAACCACACCGGTAACTTCATAGTCCTTGGGCCTTTAGTGCCCGCCATCGCATGGACTGAGACCTCAGCCTCCTCATTGAGCAACTCGACCTCCCGTTCTTCCTCGATTACCGGTTCCTCATCATCCGAGTCCACGAACTCGATCAAGAAATTCTGCTTGCACCGATGTCCCGGCATGTACTTTTCCTCGCATAAAAAACATAGCCCTTTCTCACGTCTCTGCGCCATCTCTTCCTCCGTTAACCTCTTCACCTCAGTTGCTGGGGGTCTAAAGGTGCCCGGCGGCCTCGCGTTCGCACTAGGTGCGCCCACGATCGCCGGCACACCCCGCGGCTCCGGGATACGAAAATCCGCCCGTCCCCTTCGAGTCGCGGCCAAGTGATCCTCCCGCCTCCTAGCAACCTTCATGGCCTAGTGCATGGTCTCCGGCCTCTCCAATCGCACTTCGACTGCGAGATCATACCTAAGTCCCCCAACAAACGCGCCAACAAGCGCGCTCTCCGGCCACCCGCGAACCCGACATGCCAACCTCTCGAACTCCTTTTGGTAGTCACGTACGCTCCTTGTCTGCCGGATCCGAGTCAGCGCCTCATCGTGGTTATGATAGTCTGAGTTCCCAAAACGCGTAAGGAGCTCGCGTTCAAAATCTTCCCAATGGATTGGTTGTTGCCGCCCCAAATACACGCGCGTGAGCCACTGCCACAACACGTTGGCCTCACCATCTAAATAGTACGCGGCATACCGGACCCAGTCACGTTGCGGCATCTCATTTAAGTCGAAGAATTGCACCGCCCTGTTCAGCCAAGCGTCGGGGTTGGTTCCCGTGAACGTTAAGAGCAGGATCCTTGGCTTCTCGACGCGGCCTCGCTCCTGTACGTTCGACGCCTGCGACCGCCGGTCGTATTCTTCCTCCTCCTCGGGGTTGTGCTCAGCCCGCTGCTGCTCCTGTTGCCTTAGGCGCTCGCGTGCGTTCACCCGGGGTGGCTCCTATTGCTGCTGTCGCTGGAACCCACACAACACCTCCTCCAGGCGCTATTTGAGGCGAGCCATGGCAACATTGGTGCTGATCTGTCCCTCGTCGAGCGATCCAAACCGATCCTCTATGCTCTCGCTTATGGCCTTGAATTGGCCTTCCAATCCTTCAACCTTTTCCTTCAACTCTCTATTAGCCATATCTTTTCTGGCTTGTCTACGTTCTCGACTTCCCGGACTAATTTTGATTTTTTTTTTTTTTTTTTTTTTTTTTT